TAGGGAAAATAAACAGAATGCAAATTTGTTCAGTAGTTTGGGGTTTTCTCTCCCTCTATCATCACTGAACAGGAAGTCACTAAAACAATTACATTCCTCCTTACTCCTTCACTTGCTTCTTTGAATCAAAGCCCTCCTTACATGCAGATGAATGTCTGGGTCAAGCTCCACAGACACAGCCTCTGAACACACCCACCCTTGTTCCAATGGGATCACAACAGTGTTGGAGCACCTGCTCATGGAGCTAGTTTAAAGGCACTAACCAAAGCAGTCCTACAATGTCTTTGTTTCAACTCCTCCTGCTCCTAGACCTTGGGGCATTATTACTGAGCCAACTCAAAGGAGTATATTACTGCAAGACCCCAGCTTTTCTTTGTTTACTTTTATACATATTTACATAAAATGGAAGTATCACTGTAGAGTGCACAATCACACATAGCCAAGGAGCTATTTAATTAATTTTTCTTAGGAAACACTCCCCATTTTCTCAGTCACTAGAAACAATGAAGTCTCTCATAAATTGCATGAGGACAGAGACAATCTGTGCCTACTCTCCATACTGATCGAATGCATTACCTTTAGCAGTAACAAAGTTTTACTTCACTGCACAGACTTTCCCAATAATGCATCTTGTAAGAGTGAATTATGTTTCCACAGCTGGGAAGCCAGATATGTTTCTTTTAATGACCCTGTGAAAAAATCACTGTGACCTACAGACATGGCAAGAACAGTCAGCTGTACAGACATGATATCAAAAATATGTGTAAAGAATTCTTTTTTCCAGTAGTCCTTAAGCAACAAATTTCTACTTGATGGAAGCAACAGAAAAGTCATCTTCTGAAGAAAAACCTAAGTCAGTTACTGCAGTACAAACAATTTGAAGTTTTTCTTACCTCTTCCCCTTCGAGATGAACCTCTTGCTGTCGAATTTTGTCCTCTTGCACCTCTTGCTCTGCCTCTTGCTCGACCCCTTCCTCGGGTCACTGTCGAGGGAAGGACATCATCTGAATCACCAAAGCCTTTCATTCCTGTATCCATGAGTTCTTCATCACTGGAGGCTGCAACAAGAATTTCATCCTCTGATCTGTGGGCTCGAGCCCTGGTCATTGCCTGAAATGGAACAATAAGTGTTATAGAAAAAAGAATCTTAAATTATTAAATGCACAATTGTTAAATGCTAATAATAGAATCATCAAGGTTGGAAAAGACCTTCAAGATCATCAAGTCCAACTGTCCACCCTAGAAATCCCAACCACTAAACCATCTCCTGAAACACCATGTCCACCTGTTTTTTAACACCTCCAGGGACGGTGCCTCTACCACCTCCCTGGGCAGCCTGTTCCAATGCCTCACCACTCTTTCTGTAAAGAAATTTTTCCTAATAACCTATCTGAACCTCCCCTGGTGCAACTTGACCCCATTTCCTCTTGTCCTATCACTAGTCACTAGGGAGAAGAAACCAACACCCACCTCACCACAACCATCTCTCAGGTAGTTGTAGAGAGCTATGAGCTCGCATCCTCCCCTCTTCTCCACGCTAAACAGCCCCAGCTCCCTCTCCAGCACCTCAGTGTCCTTGCTATACTGTGATGCCCAAAACTGCACACAGTGCTTGAGGTTCTGCCTCACCAAGGCTGAGTACAGGGGCAGGATCCCCTCGCTGGCCCTGCTGGCCACACTATTCCTGATGCAGACCAGGATGGTGTTGTCCTTCTTGGTCACCTGGGCCCACTGCTGGCTCATGTTCAGCTGCTGTCAATCAGCACCCTCGGGTCCCTCTCTGCTGGGCAGCTCTCCAGCCACTCTTCCCCAAGCCTGTAGCACTGCCAGGGGTTGTTATGGCCAAAGTGCAGGACCCAACATTTGGCCTTACTGAAACTCATACAATTAGCCTCAGCCCACTGATCTGTTCAGATCCCTCTGCAGAGCCTCCCTGCCCTCAAGCAGATCGACACTCCCACTCAGCTTAGTGTCACCAGCAAACTTACTGAGGGTGCACTCTATCCTCATCCAAGTCATCACTAAAGATGTTAAACAGGAGCAGCCCCAGCACTGAGGCCTGGGGAGCACCACTTATGGGTGGCCACCAGCTGGGTTTAACTCCATTGAACACATCTCTTTGAACTTGGACGTCCAAACAGGTTTTTTATCAAGCAAGGCATGTGCACATCCAAGCCCTGAGCAGCCAGCTTCTCTAGGAGAATGCTGTAGGAAGCCTTGTCAAAAGTCTTGCTAAAGTCAGGGTACACAACATCCACCGGCCTCCCCTTGTCCAATATCATCATGATACATCATTCTAAACCATTGAGGCTTAGAAGACAACTAGTTCACATGAAGATATCTCAGATTAAGAGAAGTGATTCTCACCCCAGGTGAATTCCATTCCAGTACCACACCAATGCTATCAATGGCAATGCTCTTTGGAAAGACTTATGCAATCTCATATGAATCTCTGGGGGATCTAAGACTCTAAGATTGCTGATGAGGACAACAGTACCTAAAAGGTTTTCCAGTAATACCAGTTCATTCCTGTAGCATCACCCAATACTGCCTATCCACATGTCCACTGGTGGTCAGATCACAAACAGTCTAAGCAGACAGATCTCTGAATGTCACCTGCCTGGTCTAACCTCAGTTCAAAGCAGGAATAACTGAACATTCAGGTTCACAAATCCACACAAGAAAAGAGGTCTCAAAAGCCAAATCAACCTGTAGCTTAGGCACACATTATACCCAGGAGGATTTAAAAAATACTCACTAATGTTCCCTAGGCAGACAGGCACTTTTTGGCAAGGACAATGTTGAAGAATTGCTAAGTGACCTCACTCATATGCAGAAGCCACCATTGCATTCTTCAGTCTATGTTCAAAATTCAAAGATGTTACCTCACGGACTTCCTCATCCTCTTCTTCAGCATTCTTTTTTCTACTCTCCCTGAATTTTCGCACCTGAATAAAAAAAGAGTTCTCATCAGAAACCAGTTTATTTAACACAATAATCAAAACACAGGGAGTAAAAAGTCTTGATCACCAAACTATTAAGTCAAGCTCCTGTGAGAGGCAAAGAAGAGTGCAAGAATAACTGAGCAGTTTGTTTAGAGCCTTTTCATGTTGCCAGTTTAAGAATCTCATGTTGTCTTAATAACTGGAGTTACAACACTAGTAAGAAAAAACCTTGGAATTATGATGAAAAGCAGGAGATACTATGTTCAAGGGAAGGGTATACATAATTTGACAATAAAAGGACAATGAAATACAAATAACTGGAAGAGGTGAAAATGAAGAAGCAAGCTAGAAAACAATATTGAGACGATCAAAACATTGCAATACAGGTACAACTAAGAAAACTCAAACTTGTCAACTATGGAAAAAAATATGATGGGTGAGAGGGAAAAAAAATCCCAATGTGGCACAGAAACCCTATAAGCACTGGTTGTTTATGGTCTCTTTCAATCCCATATGAATTAAAGCAATCAGCAAGAAAACAGGTTGGTGCAATCTTCCTTCCCCCACCAATGCACAGTTAAGCTGCAGAACAACTTGTATAATGCTTGAATATTTCAACTGAATACATGGGCTGATGTGCAAGCTCAACATGTTGACAGAGAAGTCTATTAAGATCACCAAATACACACAAATCAGGTTTGTGTCTGGGAGTCCCCAAGCTGAAAGCAGTTAGGAGATAACAGAGTACCTGAGAGATAGCTTCCTTTATACTTGCCCTGTTCTAGTACTCTTCCCTAACCCAATATGAAAAAGCTAAGAGATTATATCTATCACCTTTCTCACACTGCATACATATATATATAGTTGTACATATATTAGACTGAAAGATCTCTTCTATGTATGCATGTACAAATAAAGTGAGATTCAGTACAAACACAGCTAAACCTCATTTTCCAATACAAGCTTCTCAACTACGATTCTGAAACTCCAGCACCATGTTTATTAATTCCAGAAAATGACCAGAGGCAGGTGTTGCACAGCTCAGCACATAAGTGGGTCTATTAAACCAGGTTTGAGCATGATTTTCTCTACTATGTCTTGACCTCTCATACAGAATTAACATATAACAGAATATTACCTCCTCATCTATTTTCTCTTCCTCTGCATCAGTGCGACGCTCCTTAAGAAACCTCTGTGTTTTTTCCAGTTGAAATTTCACCAGCTCTTCTATGGCATCTTTTTCCTCTTTGTCCACAAACTCCTGCACTGCTTCTCCCATTCCTCTTTCAGTTAGAAGTGAAAGCTGCACTTTCTTTATAATTGAGGAAAACATTTTGTTAAGAAGAATCTTCTGTCAAAGAAAGCGAGTAACATTCCTGCCATTTAAGATAAATATGACATTAAGTTGGTTCCAAAACCAGTAACATGCATTGAAAATGTTGATCAGAGAGAAGTGCAACAATAAGCAAATGTGTTACTCATTGTAATATAATTATATCCTCTTCCTGCTAGCATATCACACCTACTTACCATTTTCCAGACTTTAAAAAAATAGTTTCATATATAGTAAACCTGCTATTTAACAAAAATATGACATTAAGTTGGTTCCAAAACCAGTAACATGCATTGAAAATGTTGATCAGAGAGAAGTGCAACAATAAGCAAATGTGTTACTCATTGTAATATAATTATATCCTCTTCCTGCTAGCATATCACACCTACTTACCATTTTCCAGACTTTAAAAAAATAGTTTCATATATAGTAAAGGAACTGCGGTGTTAGTCACACCTAAAATAATTTGTCTGAAATGTATTGTGAGGAGAGAAGGTAAACTGTAGTCTTTCTCAGTTCCCCCCCTTTTTAAATTAAAGATCAACTTGGAGAGACATAAAAACACTATTAAAAACAGGCCCTCCATTATTACAGATGCTAAATTACTTAGTTTTACTATGGAACTCTAACATTAAAAGTTACAGAGCAAAGCAAATTATCATTATGAAGCCTTAAGAGCTATTAAGCAGAAGTCTACTCTATTGAAATGCAATTTTGTAAACACCAATAATTCTCACCTGTTCATCAAGTGAGATTATATTCATCAAGATATTCTACATTAAGCTATTACTACAGATACTAATTAGTAAAAGTAGCAGATGCTACTCATGGTGTTTTGCAGCCATTCTCTATTCTCCTTCCCAATACAGTAAGAGAATCTCTGAGAATGAAACCCCCATATGGACAGAAATGTTTAAACTGCAGCCTTTTTTGTCTGTAAACAATTTCTTAATAAGCATTACATGGTTTTGATCCTTCCAGATGTCCTTTAGAAACTGTTTTGAGGGTTGCATCAGAAGCATAAAACCTTCCCTGAAATAATGCTGTGCAGAGGATTAAGTTTTACAGCTATCATAAAATAAGAAGTTTACAAAACCATGAGACAAGCATCTCAGGAGTGACTGATTGCAATGATGCAGAACACTCATGTTGACTGTCAGCAATTAAATTTTCTTCCAAAGGAAAAAAAGAAAAAAAGCTTGCTAAAGAGACAAACAGCAGTGACTTTAAATCCCAGGCCTCAGCTTATCAGCAACACTGGAACTGAACAGTCTGTTATTTGTTAGACATTTTTTTGTCTAACATGTTTTGAACATCCAGCTACAGCCTTGTGCCACCTCAGGGTCCAAGGACATTTCTCTAATCAGACAAGATCAGGTGTCTAGCAAAGCCTGAAGCACAAAGTATCTTAACACAACGTTTAAGATCCCTGTCATCATATGGGGGCACCATATGTTTTCCTCTCTTCTTTATTTCATTACCAGTGTTAACTTAGCACGTATTGTAGCACAAATTATCCGCCTACTGCAATACTGCCCAGAACACCAAGGGATTCTTTCAGGTCTTCCCAGATGCTGAGCTGCTGAAGCAGGCCTCAAATGCAGGGACCAGTAACTGAGATGTTTATACAAGACCAAACAAGCTGGGAGGACAGTCTAACAGGGACAATTTTATTGAATAAAGGAGGAAAAGAGATTAAAAGCAAAACTTGTTTTTCATAGAATAATACAGTGCCCTGTCTTGGACACTGCTACTCTTCCCCATGGAATTTAGGGGTGGCACACATTTGAAGAAGTACCTACCCCTAAACCTGTGTTCCCTCTCATATGCAGAGGGCAAAGAGCCCTTCCAGGGTGTGGTTTATGCCATTCTAATGCTAACACCTAACCTGTGTATAAGGTTGGGCAAGGTGATTTTCCTCCTGTTAGAACATCATTTAGTAAAGGGCAGATACTGCAAGTCCACAGAGTTATAATGTTCTCAAACCAGAACGTGTTCACACACCCTATACAATCTATATACAACAGTCAGTTGTTAACCTATTACATATACTTTATACAGGAATTCGCACACAGTTATGAAGGAAAAAAATTCTCTTCTTGGTGAATGTCAGTCTTTTCAGGGCACACTACTTTCATAAGGAAAGGAAAAATAAAAAAAGATAAACCAATATATTCCATTTAAAAAATCATAAAAGGTAGAAAGATACCTTCTCTGCTGTCTGAAAATACTGCTTTACAAGGTCTTCCACCCTCAGTGTCATCCCCTCAGAAGAAGGTCTGCTAACGAGCTTTCCAAAATTAAGATCATTGTCTAGAATAGAAAAGCACAGGGGCACTATTACCCATGTTTGCAGCCTTTAATTATTACCACACTATTGACAGGAATAAGAAAAAAGGTTAATACAGACTTCTTCAGAATTGTGGTGCTTTTTGCATGTAAAGGGTTTTTTGTTCTAACTGTAGAGTCTATTGTCTGGAAATACAAGTAAACATAATGGACACAACAGTTACACAACTCCACCTCTAGCAGGCACAAAGTGTTCTTCTAACTACTAGTGTCTGGAATTACAAATTGAACTCTGTGTCCTGAAATTTATTATAATTGAACTCTAGATGCTCACAAATGGAAGAAAAATCAAAGAACTCATCAAAGCACAAGGGTTTTTTATAAGTAACTCTGCTACTAGAGCACAAATTTTCCTCCAAAGCACACTGTCTGATTTTCAGTGGAAAACGTTCATAGCTCATTACAGCTGCCCCCCATTCACAGGCAGCAAGGTAAGAAGGACAGAAGAATAAAAGGGATAATGAACCAAGGTTACCACATACCACACAAATGAATAAAAAGACACAACAAACTACCTCCAGACATCTGCCACATGAAAGCCCAAAACATGCCTTTGTTAGCTTTGTTATATAAGCAGCTATGACAAAAGAAACAGTAACAAGTCCTGCACTTACCAATTCTTAATAACACCTCTACCAAAGCACACCATTATGTGCACAGGTACTGAACATTTTGATTGCTTTATTTGCCACCTCCCTTGTATGAGAGATCTAAATAAAGCAATGCAAAGAACTATGGTATTCTTTTTATATTCCCTTCCTGAAGCTGAGATGCACACAAAGTAGGAAAATTACAATGTATTGATGAAACATGGTGACAGATGCAGCAGCTATCTTGTATTCTGAAAATGTGAAATGACATCAGTTTTAAAAAATCCCCACAAAGCAAAATAAACAAGACCTTACAGCATAATTTAAAAAACCTCACTGAAAGCAGTTCTTATTAATGAAATATGATGGTTTGGACTTTATAAAACTGACAGTGTGACTAAAAACTGTCAGTGGAACTGGTGTGCTTAGAATGCCCTAGCATGAAATATTAAGTTCTTTAGCGCAGTATGTTCTTCTGCAAGCTGCATTTCATTAGTGACTACTACAGATCCAGTATCTGGGCAATATCTATTAACCATTATTTTTTTAAAAATAACCATATTAAAAATTCTAGGCACAGTGAGAAATGCTACAACAGTAACAACTGTTATTTCTTTTGCACAAATGCTTCAATGGAGACACACCTGGAGCAGACAAGCCAAGAGGACCTCATATACATGATTAGTCAGGGCAAACAAAATGCTGTCCTACATTCAGACTTTTTTTTTTTTTTTTCCAATCTACAAACATCTCTCAAACCCATCCCCTCCATTACTAATTTATGCATAAACAATTAATTACTGCAGCAATACAATTAAAAAACAAAGGGAAAAAGCCAACACCCATTTCTTTTCCTGCAGTGTCCAAAATCAATCATGTCCTTCTGAGAAGTCTCAGGAGTGAGATTTTTAATGCCCTTCATGGAAATTATCAAAGAACAATGGAATAACTCAGTCTGCTATGGGACTGTATGTATAAGTAAGGTCTGAGGACAAAGAAGAAGGAATTACTTATTAATAACTGTCAAAAGATGTTGTGCTGAACATCAGAATTTTAGCCAAATCTGGAAATAGAACAGAAACACTTGTGCAATATATACACTTAAATGAGTCTATGCACCATTACTCCTTCTATAGCACATTAGACGGTAGACACCAAGCTTTTCCAAATGCTGGGTAACAAAACAAAGGATGAAGAATGAAAATCAAGGAAAGCCAATGATTCCTTTTTTTTTATTATTACCATTTTTCTCTTTTTGTTCACGATGCCTGAAAAAGTGTATGATGTCTTTGGGATTAGCCACCCTATCCATGTACTTCTGGCTGAAACGATGGACACTGAATGGCTCAAAACCACCAGTATAATCAACCTAAGAGATGGAAGGAAAAATTTAAACATGAAACAAACAGAAATGGAAACAAACACAAAACAAGATGAGTTAAAATAAAAAGTAAGTCAACCTAAAATTAATGCTTTACTCTGCATACTACGCAGAATAGTTAACGGTCAGTACTAGTTAATAATGTTAGCAAAACAGCTATTAACAGCTCAGATTCATAATTTATTCCTACCTTGTGCCATTTACTAATCTTCAGGAAAGTTTCCATAAGTTAGGCTAGGAACAAACAATATAACTTAAGAAGAACTTATCTGTAAAAATCCACTTTTGATGACCTTACTCAGACTAGCAGTGAAATAATTTATGACCAATTTTACCCTTTATCATGGAATACCAGTTCTACCACAAGTAAACAGGAGCATAATACAAAGGTGATTTATATTTGCCTGTACATAGTAAGAAATTTTACATATTGTGTGCTTATGCAAAAAGCATGACTTTGCTTAGAAACTTTTCAGAGTGAACCTTTAAAACAAAGCAATGCAAGATTTATTTCTTACTCTCAATCTTATGAGAGGCTTCTCTGGCTGGCGTGGATTTCCCAAGCGTTCTCTTTCTGCATTGTCCAGCATCAATTCAACCTGTCAAGCAGAATTATAAATTCAGCTCCACTTTGTTCTCTTACAGATGCCTGAACCCTCCAAGTATGACTTGAAATACATCCAGATGCAGAGAGGAGCTATTAAAATAAGTAATTATAGGATGTGTTCTCATTCCAGAACACATAGAGTACAAGTATCCAGTCAAAGGCCTTAAGATTGAATGAGAAAAAAAGTTACAATTAAAGGCTTCTCATTCCGATACAGAGTAGTTCAGCAGTATTTACATCCTTGATCGCTCTTACTATGTTACTTTATATCCGTTGTCCTTTGCTAAATTCCTAGTTGCAGGGAAAGACAGGAAGAGACTTACACAGCCTTAACAACCAAGAAGAATTAATCGTAGAATCATAGAAAGGTTTGAGTTGGAAGGGACCTTAAAGATCATCTAGTTCCAATTCCCCTGCATGGGTAGGGATGCCTCCCACCAGATCGGGTTGCTCAGAGCCCCATCCAACCTGGCCTTGAACACTTCCAGGGATGGGGCTTTAAACCTGCTTAGTTACTTCTGCCACCTCACACTGGCTCTCAGGATTTAGCTGTATGGATTTATGTTGGATCCAAAGTGCACATCCAGCACTGCCCTGCTCTTAGGTAGAAGTTTTTACACAGAGATGATCTAGACCCCCAAACAGCAGTTCCAGTCTACTTTAATACGTTCTTCCAAGTCAAGGAATCTGGAAGCCAAGGCTGCAGTGAATATACAGAAATTAGCTTCCTATGGAAACACTAAGTTTGTCTCAGATAATATGGGGCAAGACACAAGATTTTCACCTTCCAGGTTCAAAATCAGTCACAGGTCCCATTTGCTGTCCATACACTGCTCTCCATATATGCTGTTAGCATTACAAGTTACCTTTTCCATGCAGAATCCTTGTATTGCCTGCGTTACTTTAGGATTGTCGGGATTAAAAAGATCTGGATGATCAGCTAGAACAATATCTTCCATGTGGAAAGTTCTCACTGTCTCTAGAGCAATCTTCTGCATTTTCATTTTCTTCCCTTTAACACGCAGCAAACCGATGTGCCTAGAGGGAGAAAGGTAACTTACTAGAAGATAAACTTAAGAGAACTAAAGTATAAAGACTTGTTTTAAGTTCATGGTTACTTTTCAGGAACAAAATTTTAAAAGCTATAGGAAGTTCATGGATCTGTACTTCAGGATTGGCCCTGCCAAACTTCATTTATTTTAAATTTAGACTGTGTTTGTCCCACACACAAGCATATATACATAGTTCTCTGTATTCCCGTTTACCAGGTTGCAACTCCTCTTAGATTAGTTCCAGCTGCTTCAAATGTTAGGTTTAATCTTCAGTAAAGCAAACGTTACTCTAGCACTGATTCTATCTACTTCATTTCTGATGCCACACTCTGAAGCTTGTCTTCCCTTTAACACAAGTCCTTTCACAACACAATACACAAGAGATATAAAGCAAGGGATAAACAAGAACAAAAATAAAAGATCACACACTTCTTGACAGCTTCTCCAGGGGACAGAGATGTCACCACTGAACTTCCTGGCTGAGAAACATAGAAACTCTGCTGTCCATTTTGGAATGGAGCTATTTTGCACTCATGTTCATGACCCCACACAACAAGATCAATAAAGTCATCTAAAAACTGCTCTGGAATGTAATTGGTAGCTCCATGTTTGCTCCTGTTTAAGAAAAAAGAAAAATAATTAAAATGTGTATAGTCATGGGTGGACAAGAGGGGGGTGAAGGAGGAGAAAAACATCAGTGTAATTGAGGGTGACATGGCAACTCCAGCAAAAACACCTGAGGTACACTTCATATCAAGTACTCTTCAAATTTATTCCTTACACAATTGTTTAAAGTGTTTGGTTAAACAAAAAGACAATCTACACAGCTCATTCTCTTCTGCTCCCCTCCTTTTATTTGGCTCTCCCTTTTCATACTTGGCTTGTAGGACTTCAGGGTTTTTTTCCATATGAATGCTTTTTATATAGAAACTAGTGACCTTATTTTTTGTTGTTCTGTTTTGTATTTAAATGGTGGGGTAAAACCCACCAAATTAAACAGACATGGGACACACCACTTCCCATCCCAACAGGAGATGGAGGAGTGAGATTCTTCAGCCTCCTGGACAGGGATCAGCACACAGGGTTATCTGAATTGTCCTCATTTCAGCTGGGACAGAGTCAATTTTCTTCCTAGTAGTTGATACAGTGCTGTGTTTTATATTTAGTATGAGAATATTTAGAATGCACTGATGTTTTAGTTGTTGCTATGTAGTGCTTATCCTAAGTCAAGGATTTTTCAGCTTCCCATGCCCTGCAAGAAAGCAGGTGCATAAGCTGCTGAGAGGGAACATTGCCAGGACAGCTGACCTCAGCCAGCCAAAAGGATATTCCATACCATAGGACATCATGTTCAATATATAAACTGGGGCAGTTGGCCAGGAGGGGCAGATCACTGCCTGGGAACTGACTGTGCATCAGTCTGCAGGTGCTGAGCAATGGCACTGGGCATCACTTGCTTTTGTTCCTTGGTTTTTATTTCTCTCCCTCTTTTTGTAGTCTTCCTTTTAATTACTATTACTACTGTATTTTATTTCAATTATTAAACTGTTCTTATCTCAACCCATGCATGGATTTTCTCTCTTGATTCTCCTCCCCATCCCACTGGGGAAGGGAGAGGAGTGAGCAAGCTGCTGTCTGGTTCTTAGTTGCCAGCTGGGGTGAAACCATGACAGATGTATTTGTTTACTTCTGCCTCACCATTACGAGTGTTGAGGAATGCCCTCTTATTCAAGAAAAATTATAAGAAAGGATTTGAAAAATAACTGCCTGTTTCCACTACCACTGCTGGAAGAGGCAGGGAGAACACATGCTGCCCATCCTCTGTTCATGAGAAGCTGTAAAGTAGAGCAGTGCACGTGAAGATAAGGTATTTGTCAAATTATGGTTCAAACGAGGGAAGAAAATACAACATGAATTTTAATGCTATTTCAGCTCTAACAAGTGGACAAGACTTAACTATATGCATATCACACTATAAACCCTCCACTGTCCCTAACTGCTACAGTTTGGGAAGACAGTTTCCAACTTTTCTAGCTCATTCATTTCAATTATTTTCTTTCATGATTCCCCTGTGAGAAGAGCTCTAAAACAATGTTTTTGTTAGGGAAAATCTTGAGAAAGCAGTTACTCACAAGAAGCACCAACTAGCATGGATGGGTTTCTTAACTAATCCTTTTCAAGGGGGTTTAATGAAATAACACAGTAAGTTTAATAGTCACCATAATTCATTCAATACTGTTACCTATTTTGATGAATCACAAACAAGTTAAACCAACTATCTTCATCTTCCTTTGGTCTCAGCATGGTTACTTGCTTATTGACAAACATACGATACAACCTCTCATCTGGAATAGCTCCTGGAGTGTATACAATAGACCATTAAATCATTTTTGTATGGTAAACCCATGATATTTTACAGCATTTTTATTAGCAACTCTATAAAAAAGAGCATAAAGAACACAACTTTGTGGCAAGATCAGAATTTTATTTTCATGACTTAACAAGTCTGAGGCATGATTACGAATTTGAACAGATCTAAGTATAAATTGGCTATTTCACTAGATAGACTTCTGAAAATGAGACATTTTAACAGAAAATCCACCCTTAAAAAACTGCTAAAAGCAGTTTAATCAACCACATCCAGTTTAAGACCTCTTGTCAGTTTTCTGTGCCAAACAACTAACTATGGGTACAATTGAAAATATTAGAAAAGGTGTTTTCTTTCTTGTTGACAGAGTAAAAGTGTATTTTGTTATAAGGTGGAGTCTAAAAACAGATACTCCTGAATAGAGATGGAGTTCTTAAGCATACTTTGACATTCTCTTCAAAACTAGAAATAAACCATGAATAATGCAAAGTCTGTGCTTTCTCGCACAGCACAGAAAAGTCTGAAGTGCTTCTGAACTTTTTGTCACTGATTGTTTCTACCAAGGGAACAAAAAAAACTCCAAACTTTCCATACCCAGGGTTCATGATGCATTTAAATAAAATCCCATATTTTGTATAAGCACTTTCTAAATGAGAGAAAGTCAAGAGGGTGTGTAATCCTGGCACAAGCTCAAAGAAACATCTCATGAACACTCTCATGACTACTTGAGAAAGTTGTTGCACTTCCCAGAAAACATTTTGGATATTACAAATTCAAATGCTTTTTGAAAACTGTCATATTTTGCTATTAAAACCCTCACTACTAATGCTTAGAACACCTAGCAAGCTTTTGAAGTATCTCATTACAGGCATAAAATCACAGCCAACTAGGACTTACAGCTATAAAATTGCTTGGAAATAAGTGTTTAAGCACTCGTGACTGGACATAAAGTAAGGGGGAAAGATAAGAACTTAATATTCAAATTCTCTATACAGAAAGCAGTCAAACATAACCATCCTAAGTAAGAAGAGAGGGTAGAGGGGAATGTAGAGGAGAAAACTGAAAGGGACAAACTGAAGTTGAAAACCCACCATAGAACAGCTTTGAAATATGAAGCTCTTCATAAATTTCTTTAAAAGGTTACCTGTGACAGATGTTACTATGAACCACTTGGGACAGACATGTCAGACATAAGGTTTCTGCTCAGTTTATGGTTTGAAATAGAACCAAAGTGGCACGTGAACACACAGTGTCTAAATTGTACCTAAACAGGAAGAAGTAAGCTACACACAGACCAGTGAGAATTCAAGAGTGTGATTGCCCTAACAGAATACTCAGGCAGTATCTATGGCTCACTCGAGCAGGGTTCAGGTAAGACCAACAAATATATAGAAACAAAGTTATTGAGGGATTTATTTTAAAATAAGAAAAAAAGGAAAGGAAAAGACCTGTTGGCTGGTGGCAATGCAGCAGGAGGAGAAACCTGACACTGCCACAGAACTGCTACATGTTAATTTAGCGTTACTTAGACCTTCATGTTTGTTGCAGCACTAGGTGTTTAGACCAACTGAGCTACAGTAACACATGAACAGTCTTGCCAGATTCTGGCAGACTAGTACTTACCCAAGCCATACAAAGCAATTTTTGTCCTGCCCTTACGCAATAAAATAGGACTAATATCTATTTTCTCCACAGAAGATGAACGTCCAAAGTGATTCAACAATCCCGCACAGCTTAAAATATCCAATGCACACAGTGCATCTGCCTGTAGAAAATATTACAAAACAAAGATAAAAACTTCCAACAGAACCATTGAAGTCTAAGTTAGTAACTTGTGCAGTTGAAAAAACTGGTCACATATATTAGCTTGTCTTTTAGTCCTCAGGGGTACAGAAGCAAATCCCTTTTCCTTACAAGTCTTGCTTCATTTGAACAACATGAAATTAAACATTTCATCACTAGAAAAAAAACACCCAAACCAAAACAAAACCCCACAAACAGCTGAAGTCTTCATAGTAGGTCCGAAGTTTAACTCCTTTTGCTAAACTACTCAATGATAAGCTATTTGATATAAAACACAAAACTACTAATCCAGCACATGGGCTTTCCTTCTTTCTACATGTCCTTTTTCTGCTCAGTTTTAGTTGATTTTTAAACCAGCATTTGATCATTACTTGATTATCTTCCTTTAAAACATGACACATATCATTTGCATAAGCACAAGTCAAAGTATCAAAATTCTTTTTTAAGAAAAAAGCTTTCAGTCTCTACAGATAGAACTTGGTTTAGAACCTTCCTGAAAGGCGGCCACTTCTTGGCATGAAAAGTGATTATGTTCTCAATGACAGAAATCTATGTCAATTAAGCATTTAAAGGCAGTTCATATGGACCCCTTAACTACACTCTTTTTTAATGTCACACTCAACTTTTTGTCCTAATAGTTCCTAAGTCACACACACAAAATACTTACATGAAGAGTGGAGCAACTGACTAAAACTAGCCTGTTCTCCAAGAACTGTATTTCTATACAAGTTTCTATTTCTACAATATTATTTTTGTAATACAACAGTATAGTACAATTATGATAATAATTACCCCTGTGGGATCATCATGATTGCCATGAATACTGAAAATCGGAATTGAAATGTTGAGATTTCTGTCCTGATAATTCACCCATGGAAACCTGAACAAGAAGAAGAAAAAAAGTTTAACTACATCTGCAAATTTGTGGACAATTCCCAATATTCTCTTCACATTAATGTCATCACAAATGCACCATGATGGCAGCACAAGCGAGTACTGAGTGATGAATAAGCTTAAGCTGTACAGCAAGATTCTCACTGGTGGAGTGGAATGGCAATTCCCAGTTGGAACAGGGTAGCAAAAAGATCCTGTTTTTTTAGAGCAAGCCCACGAAAAGATTTGTACATGTTGTGTGGTGGTATGTGCAACAGCAGCAGACTGGGCTGTACAACCTTTGGTTACACAAAAAGAGCTTCACTGATTTTACCACAGCAATTAATGTAAATTGGTTTACTTGCCTTGTACTTGCAGAATGGAAACTATGTGTTACATAAATGTACCAATGTCACAACACATTGAGGAGTTTTTAAAAAAGTTGTGGGACTTTCTTTATAGACTTAGATTATAAAAGATGATAGGTGAGGTCATCCTGAATACTGTTCTACACAAACTGGCCTACAACTTCAATGTTCTGTTCACAGAGAATTTAAATAATAAAAATCACAACACGTTCACCCAATACACAAATCAAACCTTACACCATAATTTACAGCAACATACTTACTTGCTACAATGAAAATTAACTGCCTGATCACTTAAAATTTCAAACTGAACAGGACGATCACCCATGCAGTATTTTCTTAGTGACTCCAAACAAGAGTGTACTGTTTTTCTGGAAGGTTTGTTTTCATGAAAAAGGTCTCCACCTAATAAAACAAAGTCCACCTGTATGGAACAAAAAGCACTATTACTTTTAGACAACTTTATGTATTACCTTGAAATACTTTTAAGCAAATTATTTAAATTATTTCTTATAAGGAGTTACACATCTGGAGTTCCTCATATCTGGACTTCTAAGTAAAACAAGTTGGCAGTTGCAGACAGTGTGTACTTTCCTCATGAAACAAACATTAAGTAAATTATTCATTAAAACAAAAACAAATGCAAAAATACACATTTATCAAGTGCTATGGGAGAAAACAACTGATAGTATTGAAAAATATACCAGTGAAGTGTTTTAATAAGGGTCTCCAGAGGCTGCTGAACTCTTCTTTGACAGGCATGAAGACATTATCTTTTCATTGCTGTGGTACTTAGTGGGAAGAAACCTAGGTAGCTATCACAATATTACTCTGAGAAAGTCATAGCTGCACTTTCTGTAGATATTTAGCTTTTGAAAAAGCATTTGGAAAAAAATTGACATTAAAATTACAAAAAAAATTTTGACTAAGAAACATTCAATCTTTAAAACCAGAAAAAAAACCCACTTTAACCTTTCTAACTCTTTTTTCTATTTTCTGAGTTGTCTGAAGACTTTCACAGAATGACAGAACCATCATGGTTGGAAAGAACCTCTAAGATCACCAAGTCCAACCAACAGTACAAAAACCCCACAACCTTGGCCACTAGAGCATGTCCTGAAGTGGCCAACAGGGAGGGGATTCTGCCCCTCTGCTCTGGTGAGGCCACCCCTGAGCTACTGTGTATAGCTCTGGAGCCCTCAGCACAGGAAAGACACAGAGCTGTTGGAGAGGGTCTAGAGAAGGCCCACAGAGATGATCAAAGGGCTGGAGCACCTCTGCTACGAAGACAGGCTGAGAGAGTTGGGGCTGTTCAGCCTGGAGAAGGCTCTGGGGAGACCTTACAGCATCTTCCAGTACTTGAAAGGGGCTACAGGAAAGCTGGGGAGGGACCTTTCATCAGAGAGGGTAGTGATAGGACAAGGGGTAATGGTTTTAAACTGAGAGTGGGAGATTCAGGTTAGACATCAGGAAGAAATTCTTCACTATGAGGGTCATAAGGTGCTGGAATAGGTTGCCCAGAGCAGTTGTTGATGCCTCTCCCTGGAGGTGTTTAAGGCCAAGTTGTATGAGGCTTGTGCAGCCTGCACTAGTGTGTGGTGTCCCTGCTCATAGCAGGGAGGCTGGAACCTGATGATCTTTAAGGTCCCTTCCAACCTTAACCATTCTATGATTTTATGAACCTCCCTGGGCAGGTTGTTCCAATGCCTGACCACTGTTCCAGTATAAAATTTCTTCCTAATATCCAATTTAAACCTCCCCTGCTGCAACGTCAGGCCACTTCCTCTGGTTCTTTTGGTATTTACTTGGGAGAAGAGGTCAGCACCCACCCCTCTACAACTTCCTTTCAGGCAGTTGTAGAGGTCTCCCCTCAGCCTCCTTTTCCCAGACTAAACATCCCTAGTTCCCTCAGCCACTCCTTGTATGACTTGTTCTTCAGACCCTTCACCAGCTTGGTAGCTCTGCTCTTGGACATGCTCCAGCACCTCAATGTCATTCCTGCAGTGAGGGGCCCAGAACTGCACAGAGCGCTCGAGGTGCAGCCTCACCAAGGCTGAGCAGAGGGGCAGGATCACCTCCCTGGTTCTGCTGGCCACACTATTCCTGATACAGGCCCTCTTGGCCACCTGGGCACACTGCTGGCTCATGTTCAGCTGCTGTCAATCAGCACCTCCAGGTCCCTCTCTGCTGGGCAGCTCTCCAGCCACTCCTCCCCAAGCCTGTAGTGCTGCCAGGGTTATTGTGACTGAAATGCAGGACCTGTGAGGGACCAGCCATCAGGACCTATTTTGTGAAATGGTGTCCAAACCCCATTGTAGCCCCTGGAACAAAGTCTCATATGCAGCCCAAAAGGCCTGCTTGGGAGGATGGAGACTGCAGGAATGGCCTGAATAGGGCCTCAGGCCTACATAGATGAGACAAAGATTGAGGGGTGGAGGGGGGTAGGTCCACTCCAGCTGCTCACACATGTATGGCTCAATCACATGTACTCGTGAAATCAAGATTCTAGACCTCAAGATTCTGTCTCTCCTCCCCCCCTGCCTTTTATCTTCTGTTATGTGTTATTTGTTATAAACAGACCTTGTGTGTCGCTGCACCTTAAGCTGATCGAGGGGCATTGGACCGTCACACATTTACTCTCTGTGGGGAAAGACCAGGTCTGAGAGAAGGATTTTGAGCCCAGCCACACCTCTGCTCCTCTCTGAAGGAAGTCTAGAAAGCAAGGGGGTTCACTCCTCATCTCCCTGGGCTGCCCAGTCTGAGTTGTGACACATACAGGACTGGATCCAGCCACACCTGGCTCCTCTATTGCAGCAGGAGTTTAGAAAGCAAGGGGGTCCAGATCTAACCTTCCGGGGTTATTAAATCCTGGCCGTGTCAGGACCCAATATCTGGCCTTACTGAACCTCATGCAATTTGCCTTGGCCCATTGATCCAGCCTGTCCAGATCCCTCTGCAGAGCCCTCCTGCCCTCAAGCAGATCAACACTCCCATCCAGCTTAGTGTCATCTGCAAACTTCCTGGGGTGCACTCTATCTCCTAATCCAGATCTTTGATATACTGTAAAGGCATCACTCTCTCCTATCATTTTCCCTTCTGGCAGTGTCGAACCCTCTCTAAATACCACTAGAAGGGGTGTAGACAATCTGTAAACACCATTAATGCAACCAGGGTCACAGGCTGGAATATATTTTTTACAGTCTGACTCCTTCACTTTCCAAAAAGCAGAACTTACTTCGTTTTTATGAGCATGATCCAGAATCTCATTTAAAGTTACAAAGGTATCATTTCCACGCACTGGATCCTTCTCCAAATAGCCAAGGTGAATATCAGTAGCAATCAGTATTTTAAAGGTATCATCATCATCCCTAAATAAGACAGGAAAACTTTATGTTAGCAGTTAACTTCAGAATTTCAACACAGACTTGATTAAGGTAATTTGTTCTGTCTGGAGTTATTAAATATACACAGGAAATTTGCTTTAAAACCTTATAAAAATATAATTCCTCTAACAATCTCAAAATATTTCTCAACTTTTATTGCAAATAGCACTTCACCACACCAAACAGTTTGGACACTTGGTTACCCCAGTCAGCCTGCTCTTGGCTGCAACCATCTCTATCTAATGAAAAACTGAAGAATCCTTTGTGTGTTTCCTGCCTTTGCAAAGATTTGGTTAACGAACACTTCATTTCTCCCTTTGCACTAGTCATCTACACTTGGACAAAAGCAGGTGTGATGATCATAAGGACCTGAGACAAAACAGAAACGATGCCCAGAGTCCTGAACCTGCTGCAAACATTCACAGGACTTGCTGCCTGGTGAGACAACAGGAGCTTACTGTGAGCTGAGGGCACTCATCTTGGCGCCAGGACTCCTCCCAGAAAGGCTCTGGACACAGCTCGGGAAGTCAGGCCAGGAAGTCAGTTTCTGCCTCTACAGCTGCTGTGTGAAGCCTAAGAGAGAAAAACAGAGACTGATTAGAACGGAGGGGGCCATGAGCAGTTACCCGGCCTTTTACTGGGAATTCCTGCTTGCAGGAAACCCCTGAAGGAAAGACCCGCGCTTGGTTTAACCACGCGCTGCCGCCCCGGGCACGCGGCCGCGCCGGGGCCTGTCACGCCGGG